TTCAAGGAAGTAATTTCATGATGATTAGAACTACCAATAAGGATGTCATCTACATATACCAATAGAGTAATAAATGTGCTCCCAGCTTCCTTTGTAAATAATGAATAATCAGATTTGGACTGCTTAAAACCATGATCAACAAGAGTATTGGAGAACTTTGTAAACCATTATCTCGATGCTTGCTTAAGCCCGTAAATCGACTTGTGGAGTTTACAAACCAAATTCTCCCCTTGAACTCTAGAACCAGCATACTCTTTATATCCTAATGGTAAGTCCATGTATATTTCTTTGAATAAATCTCCATTAAGAAAAGTATAGTTAACATCAAGTTGGATGATATGCCAATTGTTCATTGCTGCAATTGCCAAAAGGTTCTTAACTGTAACAAGTTTGGTAACTGGTGAAAAAGTCTCATTGAAGTCCAAGCTTTCCTGCTGAGTATATCCCTTAGCTACTAAGTATGCCTTGTACCTTTCTATGCCACCATTTGAGTTGTACTTTTTTAAAGACCCATCTACATCCAATAGAATGTTTTCCATCATGTAATGTTGTAATGTTAGTCATTTCCATTGCATCTAATTCAGCTGCCATGGCAGCTCTCCAATGATTGTAATTGATAACTTGATGATAGTATTCTGGATCAAAATTTGATGACACATTCAACAAGTAATGGCGATGGGATGGAGAAAAGACCTTATAAGAGATATACCTGGACAGTGGATATGGAAAAGGGTCATGTTGTTGATTATTGGTTATGAGATTACAATGAAAGTTCCTAAGATATGAAGGAGGTCTGTTGAGTCTTGATGATTTTCTGAGAGTATCTGATGGATGATCATTGATAGGAGGTGAGTTTGTATGCAAATCATTGTCATTATTTGCAACTTGAATGGGCATAGATGGGATTCTAGACTGAGATGTAGATAGAGGTACATGATAATCAACTTCAGAAGTGGAAATAGGCAATACATGATTAGGAAAAGGATCAATCATATCAAAATGATCAGGAATAGTTTTGTTAGGTATTTAATGTAATTGGCAAATATGTGAACAAAATGGACTTAAATCTGGTGGTTTTGAGCAATCGACTTTTCAACTGAGGTATTAACACAGATAGGATTTCTTGATACTGATTTGGAGTGATAGTAAGCTGTGAAAGAGAATTCAATATTCCTGATGCATCACTGCTAGATATTTGGCCTTGATGAGCTTTCCAACAACATTAACCACTGGAGGTTTTCCTTTGTTAACTCTCTGATTATGAGGATATCCAGGCATACCACATTGACTACATATTGGTCTCTCTCTTTTCTGATTAGGATTAGCAAAATTGAATCTCTAATTGAACGATTTATGCACAGCTTTACCTACAAAAGTAGCAGCATCATGTGTTGCTTGTTTAATGTTCGCTGAAAATCTATGCCGCAAGCGCACGGGTCGAGAACAAGTAGTAAAAGTGGACTTTTAGAGTCCAAGTCGATCCCTCAGAGAGTGTTGAATTCAATTCTAAGTTTATCCGTCTTAATTTAACGAAAAGTACACACACATTTAAAAAACTGAATTTTAAAATCATAAAAATTGCAATTTAGATTAAAACTGATAAAATGACAGATAAAAAATAAAGAGATTTGGATTTTGAAAAGATGTTGGAATTTATGATTTCGCTTAACCTATACTTCATTAATGTCAATTCAATCACGCACAGATGCAAATTATCAAAATAAGTAGTCAGACCCGATTTTCCTATTTTAGTTAATACCCCCTCTCGAGGTCATATTAACCCTAATCAGCGTATCCATACCGCATATCTCTATGCCAACAGCATGAATTTTTATGAAAATACTCAACGGGTCACCTAGAGTAGGTGTATATCTCTATATCACCTAAACGCGCAAAAGATATACTAATGCAAATCCAAGGTATTAATCATTTCGGTCTAGCAAATGTAATTATTTGTCAACAATCACATAAACACCTAATTACCACATCTATTGACGTCTAATAAATGAAGCAATTTTCAACATGATGATTAATACACTACTATTTTGATAACCAATGCATAACAAAATCAAAATAAACATATCATTGACATTAATGAAATATTAGGTTAAGCTACTCCATAAATTTCAACAAAAACAATTTAGCTCATCATCATATTAATACAATAACAAAGGAGATTTTTGTTACAAAATATTACAAACATGATAAAATAAATGGAAGAAATGCAAAGGTATAGATACAACCCTTTTTATGTAGCTTTGAATCCTTCCAACTCTTTCACCACCTTTCTTTAATGCTATCTCCTAATTGCTATTGATTTTTGCATCCAAATTGAGCCAAGTTTTAACAAACAAAACCAACAAAATAAAAGAAAGAAAAAAGAGGGAAAAAAAAACGTGAAGTGAAGAGAGGAAAAAGGTGAGAATTTTTTCTATCCTTTTTTCTACAAAGTAGTATGTATATATATATTATATAATATCTAGATATTTTGGATTATTTATACTATAGAATAGATATTTTATGACACAAGCTAAATATCCTAAAATATCTAACAATATTTTGTATTCATTACATTTAAGCCCTCCGTAAATTGCACTTCAAGTCCTTCAACTTTATATCTTGTACAATTTGGTCCTCAACTTCACCATTTTTTACGCTTTAAGTCCAATTTTCTTCCTTTTCGTCTCGTTCTCTTTCCTATGGGGGGTCTTTTTGCCTACAAAAATGAAAATTACACAATTATGAATAGGAATTTACTCAATTTCAACAATAATTAACTCCAAAAAGTGTCTAATAAGTGTGTAAAAACACACTTATCATTTAACAGCACTTATCTCCTTTTGCCTTTCATCTTGTAAAACAAGTGCAAATACCTTGTTCAACGAAGGTAATGGATCCATCAACAAAATTTGACCTCTAACACCAGCAAAGTGTTCATCTAAACCTATGAGAAACTGCATAATTTGTTCCTTTTGTTTATAAACAGTGTTATCAGTGCTTGACCTATAATTTTTCAATTCCTCCTATAGTCCTTTGAGCCTGTTAAAGTAGGAATTAACTGAGTTGTTCCCCTGAGAAATTGAAGCAATTTGTTTCTTCAATTCATAGATTCGAGAACCATTCCTCTGACTGTATCTATCACGCAGTTTGATCCAAATATCTCTAGCTGAATCTTTGTGCATCACACTTGTATAAAGTTCCGTAGGTATCGAATTGATGATCCAAGAGGAGACCATATGGTTACACCTCCTCCAAGCCGTATAAACCGGATCATCCTGAGAAGGCTTGATGATATATCCATCAACAAATCCTTCTTTATTTTTAACACTAAGCGCCATGGTTGCTGCTCGACTCCATATCGCGCAATTCTCTTCAATGAGAGTAACAGAAATCAGTTGCATTCCAGTGTTATCTTCATAGTGAAGATAATAAGGACTGCTTGGATTGCTAATCAAGCGATTAATCACAAAAATTACATCTGCTCCAACTGCATCCTCAGCTGATGATCCATTGACTGAATTCGCTTGTTCAAATTGACTTTGCACCTCCGCCTAAACACTAGAGTCTCTCGCCATCAATTACTGATGAAATTTAGAGTAAGAAGATCACAGAGTTGCATATGAAAGGAGCAATGTATGCTCTGATACCATGTAGAAATGTGAAGAATTGATCTGAATTGAGAGAAAAAATGGGGGGAAATGAAATTCATTCAATTATAGAAATGAATTCTACACTTTACAGTAAATGGAAGCCCCTATTTATACACATCCTAACTAACAAAACAGAATGAAGAATGGTAAAATGACATAAATAACCTCAAGCTATTTTAACGTATGTAGAAATCATCATATGGGATTCGAATTTCTCCTTGTCCTATTGATCATGCTCATTTCCATAGCCATATTGCGTCTTTTATCATACAGAAGCATTATGTATAGCGATGGTGTTATATTGGAGGCAATATCGAATGTGATTTAAAGATGGGGGACCATTGAACTATGACATCCTCTTCTTCCATAGCCATAGGAGTATTGTCATTAGATTCCCACTCTAAGCATGTGGTGGATCTCTCTTATATGTAAAATAAAAATAAAGTGAACGTTGGATAGCTGCAATGACTCTGGATTGGATCACTTATATGATGGTGGTCAAATTTCATAAAAAAATATAATTGTCATCACTTAGATGGGATGGTTAAAGTCACTTCCTTAGGAGAAAATTACACCAATATTCTCCAACGTATTATCTGAGTGAACCCTTTGAAAAGGATTGTCCTTCATATTTTTTAAATACCCAAAAAATAACAAAGATAAAAGTTCGATAAAATATTTGCCCCTCATTTCAAAGTACGTTAAAATAATATTTGGATAGATATTATCATTAAGTACAAGATATGCTAACTTAAGAACGAAACCAAGAAATTAAAGACATAAATGCAATAGAAAACAAAGGTTGAGAACTTGTAATATAATTAAATTTTAATGTAATAAATAAGTATTATGGTGTCAATATAATTGCTCAATCTTATGTTGAATTACTCTTTTGACGTACTTTTAACATATGTACTGCACTAATTACAAAGTTAAGAAAAGTATAATAAGTACTAGTGCATTGGATTATAAAGTAGGTAAACTTTTATTGAACTCCTCATGCCATCGTGCTTGGATTAAAGAATAGATTATGATTAATGGAGCAATGTGCAACATGTTACCATTGGCTTAGCCAAACATGCTCGTTGTAATTTTTATAAGTTTCCATGACTCGTAGTGAGGTCTAGTTGTATCTGAAAATGACATATCGCCCAAAAAGCAATGTAAAATCAAGTCTTTATAAAGTTGATGCCTACCTAGTCTTTCTCCCACCCAAATACTCATTTTTCTCTATCTCTTATTCTAGTCGTAAACGAGGTAAATTGAGATTCCATTTTCATGGGAGACTTGCATTTAAACTGAGTTAAAGAAATTGTAGCTCCTGAGTTCACCCAAACACTTCAAAGAATCATGGATACAATTCCTGCTGATAACTTCACAGTGGAATTACAGCAGCTTGATACTACATCTCGGGCCGAGAGGGCAAAATGGCTGCTGAATTCTCCTGAACCACCGAGTTTATGGCATAAAATCACCACCTTGTTAAGAGACACCGTTTCGCCACTTGGAAACATACTCTCTTCATCTGCAGACCGACCGAAAGGAGGCACTGGCACTGTTGTTTGTTTCTTGCAAGGCCTTTTTCCAATCCTTAAGTGGGGAAGGAATTACAAAGCTGCACAGTTCAAGAATGATTTTATGGCTGGCTTAACTCTTGCAAGTCTCTGCATTCCTCAGGTATGTATCAACAATTACCCAAAATCGATCTTTTTTCTTGTCTTTCAAGGTATTTTCTCTCTAAAATGTTCTAGGACTAATCTTTACAGAGTATTGGATATGCAAATCTAGCCAAACTTGATCCTCAATATGGCCTATGTAAGTACTGAAATAAGTTTAAAGATAGTCGAGGCATATTTGTTTCGGCCATTGCCCCGGTGGTACCAGGATGCAGTCATAATCTCACGTTAAAGAGTGGTGAGGTTTGAGTCCTGGGGACATCACTTTGGCAAAAGAAAGTACCCTAACAAATAGCGTCCCAACATATATTTATATGTTAAGTAATGCTATTTACTGTCGCTCACTACCATAGTTGCGACAGCAAATAGAGTTTTTCTTATATGTTTCAGGTCCAAAAAAATTTTGTGGTGACTCTGTTATGTAGACACGAGCGTAGTCCCACCTGTGATATACGCTTTAATGGGGAGTTCGAGAGAGATTGCCATAGGTCCAGTTGCTGTGGTTTCGTTGCTGCTCTCTGCAATGATTCAGAATATAATAGATCCTTCTCTTGATCCAACCAATTACAGAAGACTTGTTTTCACTGTCACCTTCTTTGCGGGTACCTTCCAAGCCATGTTCGGTATATTCAGGTGTTATTCTTTCGATCTTACCCCTGTTTGATAGCTATTATTTGGAATTTTCAATATTTTGAACAGTGAATTTTTTAAGAATGTGTTGTTAAAAAATAGAGACAGATTTTAGATTTACGTGCAAAATATTTTATTATATGAATGTGAAATTGAAAATGAATATATAGAAAATAGAGTTTTGAAATAAAGGAGGTCAAACAATGACTTAATTTTCATAAATAATTGGTGACAAGATTTGGATCAAATTGGGAAATTTCACGTGGTATTTTATCATTGAATTGTTTTAAACGCAATTAGCTTTTCCATCAAATGATCCGATCCGATGTTACCTCGAATTACGTCACTGCTCTTACAGGTTGGGTTTTCTGGTGGATTTTCTGTCTCATGCTGCGATGGTTGGGTTCATGGGAGGTGCAGCCATTGTAATTGGGCTCCAGCAGTTGAAAAGTTTACTGGGAATTAATTATTTAACGACAAAAACTGACGTCGTCTCTGTGTTGGATGCTGTGGTCAAATCGCTTCATCATCCAGTAAGCTTTTAATTAATACTACTATTTTTAGGTATTAAAATCTACAACTCTCTCATATCCAAAAGTTGGCCCGTCCGCCATAAGTCGTTATTCTCATTAAAGTTTAATATTAATAATTATAAATAAAAACTTATCCAGTAGTAAAAGAATAAAAGATGCTAAGCAAATCGAATTTCCATATTTCTAAAGTTTGCATCTCTTAGTACGAAATCTAATTCCAAATTATTCATTTTAGATGAATTGTGTCTACTACTTTTGGATTTATAAATAATGTCCATTTCTTACAAATATATCATTTTCTCTTCAAAATGATACGATAGTCTCTTTCTTCTGCACAAATATTGTACCATCTAGATAGTCTCGTCAAACTTGGCATAGTTAACGAGCATATCTAATCCATTTAGATACTCTCCCTCTCTTCCTTTTTACATGAATTTCAAATCTTCTCTTTCTCGACCGTTAACTTTTACTAGATGACTTTAAGCAAATTTAAATAGAATGACATTATAGTAATTTTGCATAACTGAATGACCATATTCAATAAAAATTTTGGCAAGAGTCAGACCTTATTTTGACCTAAAAAAGTTGAATAGTCCAAAAAAATTCCCTTAATGTTTCGAGTATTGTTATCCAATCCTGCTATTTTTAGTGAGTTTAGATGACACGTGTGATATTAAATGATATATTCATTTAAATACATGAAGATGTAGTCTACTTATTGGATTTATTATATATTGTCACCCAAACTGATACTCTAGAATCAGTAGAACTAGATGACATTATTCTAATAATTTGGAGCCACTTCTAGTTGATGGTTGGCTCTAATGGTAAGCTAGTTAGTAAAGTTTTGTCTCCCATAGGAAGGGATGTCACAATTCTTCACATCTTTTAGCTATTTTTCATGAATATTGAAATTGCTACTAAATTATAAAGCACCTTGAATATATAGATTAACAAAAGCATGGCTAGCTAAGTGTTCGCGTGAAACCCGTAAACGTACAAGATCGTCATACAAGTAATAAGATTTGTGAATTAACAATATTATTTCCACGAAGATTAAGTTCTAATTCGTAGTTCAATAGTTTTTATTAAATTTGAAATGTAGTAACATCAAAAGAGAATTGGGTTTTATTATTTATACTAATTTCTATTTTAAGAAAGCAAGTAAATATAATATTTTATCTATGTAAATGCTTGTACTAGATTCAAGTATCCCTTCATTTCAATTCTCAATACTTAATTTATTCAATTCATGCATTTTGTTTACAACCGATAACCCAAGATACACCAACCTATTACTAACATGAGACAATCATATTCTTAGTCCGAATTCATATGAAATCATTCATTTAGTTTAGATTATTAATAAGACTGCATATGTGAGAGAGATTATTCATAATTCTAACTACACATGTTGATTTTACCACGTTTTAGTATCAATGTGAGTACTCATACACTACAACAAGCAACTAACTACTTAATTGATGATGAAGCTATATAAGTAGTGCAATGGGTATATAAAATCAATTAAACAATAACGCGTAATTCCTAAACTAAAGTCTTGAATTGAAATAAATAATAGGGTTTAAAAATTCATCCAATATAAAGGGAAAACATAGTCAATCATCCTAATTATTAAATTATACAAGAAATAATGAAAAGATATCACCCGAATCAAAAAAAATATGGAAGAAAGTGGATAAATTCAATTTCTTGGCTTAAATCTTGACTTTGGATTAATGATCTTCAATAAACTTTAATAATTTGTCTTTGGTTGATGATTGCGCCTTCTTCTTTGCCTCCAAAATACATAGAATATGTGATTTTAGGTCTAAGGGAGGTTCTTCATGTTTTGGACGACTTATGGTATATATAAAAGAATAAAAGATCGCATACCAAAAAAGTTTCCAAAACAAAATAAGAAAACATAATTTTTTCCTCGAAACTGAACCATTTGTATGCATGGTTCATTTGGTGTGTACACAATAAACTCCAAATAGATCGGTTTTGTTACTGGTACATCAAGGTGTACATAGGCGCGTACATCACATTCACATGGGGGTGGGACTCGCTCGAATAAAAAATATTTTATACACGTGGGCCCCACCCCCATGTGAGTGTGATGTACATCATTATGTACAATTCTTGATGTACAAGTAGCATTTTTGCAAATAGATTCAGTCAACCCAAATAATGTTAGTATTGCCATTTTTGGACCAAAATGTATATTGGTCCCTGAACTTATTCAAGTGTATATTTTGGTTCTTTTCGACAATTTTTTTCATCACATTGGCTTCTCTTCTCCTCCAATTGACTCTTGACATTCTTGAATCGCCGTCTTGCGATTCAACACAACTCTTGGAATGTTGCACTTTAGTCCCCATAATTTGGATTTCATCATTTTTCTTCAATTTTCCCTTTCTTTCTTCCAATTCTTCATACAATCATTGAGTTTCACCTATTAAACATAATATAACACAAATTAGGCAATAATGCATCCAAAAAATAAAAAAATATCATCATTTAGGACCCGAATAATTGTAAAAACTACACTTGTCACGAAGTTAAAAATAAATAAAAAATTTGAAAGTACAAGTAATTTTTTAATTCACAAGTAAGAAAAAAAAAATTAAGTTGCTTTTTTACGCTTAGCCCAACGTGCTCTAATTTTCTTATAGAGTTGTAAAATTCATTACTTCCTTGACACTTCCCCTGCTCTTTTTTGATGTGTAACAGTGGAATCCTTTGAATTTTGTCCTTGGATGTTCATTCCTCATCTTCATCCTAGTCACAAGATTTATCGTAAGTATGCACGTCACTACAATAAATTTTACTTTTAATGGCAAAAATTTGTCGAAAAAAATAATTTTAGTTTCGTCGAATCTGCAGGGCAGAAGGAAAAGAAAACTTTTCTGGTTACAAGCCACGGCTCCTCTTTTCTCAGTAATATTATCCACTTTAATCGTTTACTTGACGAAAGCAGATAAGCACGGCATCAAAATAGTAGAACACTTGAAAGGAGGCCTCAATCCAAGTTCAGTTCATCAATTGCAGTTTGGATCTCCACATGTTGGAGAAGCTGCAAAAATTGGATTAATCTGTGCCATTATTGCTCTCACCGTTAGTACATACTCCTTGAACATCTTTTCTAGTCGATACTATGTTGTATTATCTCATCTAAAAACTTAAATAAGTGTGGCCGACTGTTTTAGGAAGCCATTGCAGTTGGACGATCTTTTGCATCACTTAAAGGCTACCAATTGGATGGTAACAAGGAAATGGTTGCCATGGGCTTCATGAACATTGTGGGATCTTTAACATCATGCTATGCTGCAACTGGTGAGTCAATATTTATTCAGTTCAATTCCCATCTTAACTCAGTACGACCCATTTGGCATGGCTTTTGAAAAGCTATTGAGATTTAAAAACTATTTTTGGATTCGTTTAACTAATTTTGTGAAAGTTCTTTTACTTTAAAGACCTTTTAGAGAAAATTGGTCCAATGTGACTTTCTCTAAAAGTACTTTCGAAATAGAAAACAAAAATTAAAGTAACTTCTTCTAAAAGTTATTCTACAGAATGCAAAAACTATACCAAACGGAACCTACCTCTTTGTCGAAAAATGCTATCAAGTAACTTTTCAAGAGAAATATTTTAATCGGTGAAATTTCTTGTAGTGATATTAACGTAAGTTGTTTTTTCAGGTTCCTTCTCGCGTACTGCTGTGAATTTCAGCGCGGGTTGCGAAACAGTGGTATCAAATATAGTTATGGCAATTACAGTGCTTATATCCCTACTATTTTTGACAAAGCTATTGTACTACACTCCAATTGCTATCCTGGCTTCAATAATCTTGTCTGCTCTTCCTGGACTTATTGACTTGAAAGAAGCTTATAATATATGGAAGTTGGACAAGCTGGATTTTCTTGTCTGCATTGGTGCCTTCTTTGGTGTCTTGTTCGGCTCGGTTGAGATCGGTCTTCTTGTTGCGGTAACGTTATTTATATCAGTTTCATTATTTTTTAGTGATTTTAGCAGTATAGTTTATCGAACACATCGGACAGTATGTATGATATAATGACCTCTTTAAATTTTTGCTTGCTTAAAATGGAAAATTAACACCATCCCGACCAAGGACGGACCTTAGATAGATTTTGGAACATACTAAAAAAGTTAAGAGTAGGTTTGAACATCGACTTTTGAGATGGGCTGAATCTATTTAGGGATAAAATTTTTTGAAGTAAAAATAAAAAGTGAACTTTTTTTTTAAATTTTGAAGAAAAAACATTCGACTACACGTAGGTCGACTCCTGTTGTCGATGATCTAGTTTATTAGAACCTTTGTTTCTCTTATCTTGTTTTCCTATATATTCGTGTGAACACAATCGAGCGCAAACTGGTATCACCGTAAATATTACGTAGCATTCCCTACCGAATAATAGAAAAACATAAGTTGGCCCACATATGGGCATCTTGTGACTATAAGTCGACTTTCGAATATATAAATTGGAGCATTAGCGAGTAATCAATCATGTGCATTGTGGGTTCCATAAATAGCATAATTTAGATGTTGACACAAAGCATACCTCTTCATTTTTTGGATTCCAAAATAGCTTAGGTCAACTTTGTAAATTGTAACTCTCATTTCCTCACATTGCTTATCTTCTAGTGAATCTAGGCTTTACTCTGCATTGCGATTCGGAACAGTGGTGTCATTTCAGACGTAAAAATCACGCTGAATATGAATATTAATTTCCTTTATCTTCCTTAATAATTGACGAATAAGCATTGAGTAATGCTCCTAACCCCCATTGGGATTGAGTCACAATCTATATGAGAATTACACGACATTAAATTATAGATTCATTTAAATACAAAATCATATAACTCATTTAATTGAGTATATCATTTAATGTTATGTAATTGACACATTGACTGGAGCTCAACCCCATGAAGATGAATAGCATAAGGCTCAAAGACATTTGAATTTATAAAAATCCTCGGGTTCAAAGGCTCCCCCAAAAGATTTTTGGAATTTTATTTTTCATTTAAAAAAAAAAATCTCTTTCCAAGTCCTTATTTCTCTCTTCTGCGATCGTGTCCTCTCAAACACCAAATGAAATAAGTGGAAATGTCTTCAACCCCTTATTTTTTTATCTATTTATTTACTTACCCTTTTAGTTTTTAAAATTGCTAAGTAGCACTTAATCAAAATCCACTAACTTAATTTATTTTGTTATTTCAATCTCACAGCTTTATTTCTTTATTATTTTTAAATTCTAAATCGCAAAAAGCACATCACACTTAGCCTTAATAAAGAATTTGACATGTAGATAACATCTATAATAGGTGCACGTCATTGTCTCAAGTCCACTAGAATTACACGACTAGTCAGGTCAGCTAGTATGTGAGCATAATAATAGAATCAATAGGCTTGTGTCGCTTATTACAAGTTTGAACTCCTCTTATTTTATCTCTCGGTAAAAATAAATTATCCAACATATTGACGTGAGCGATATTAACTGAAGTGGAAAATTAAAACCAGGCCAATTTAAGTAGCACGAAATGAAGCTTATAATTACAAATTTCTTAAGTTAGGAAAATAAAATTCATTAGCTTGTGCAACTTAGGATTCCCAAAAAAACCTTTTCATAATACCACTTTTTAAACCTAGTGTTAATAATTACCAATATTTTCATCTTTGTCGTGTTATTTCAGAAAAAGTGTGACACTTAATTTGTGCCCCCATCATACCAAACACGACATTACCTAAATTGACTCAATTTTTCATATTACTCATAACACAATTAATCCAACATCATTCTGGTTTTTAGCATATCAATATTTTTGTTTATTATTCTAAATGAATCACTTCTTATTAATGGCAGAAGTAAAACATAATATGAAATCGAAAAAGAGCTTTTTAGCATATTGATATGGCTTAGAAGTATTGACGGTTCGATCTCTGTCGGGATATATTACAGGTTATCATCTCATTTGCTAAGATAATTCTGAATTCTATCCGACCTAGTACAGAAGAACAAGGGAGACTTCCAGCAACAAATATCTTTTGCGACATCACCCAATTTCCGATGGCCACTAAAACATCCGGCATGTTAATAATTCGTGTTGATTCGGGAACACTTTGTTTTGCAAATGCTAATTTTATCAAAGAAAGGTACTATATTTTCGTCCCCCGGAATCCCATTTAAAGTTTTTTTTAGATAATAACATGATATGATTTTGATACGGTTCAGGATCTTGAGAAGAGTAGTAGATGAGAATGAAGAAAATACAAAAGAGCGAGTTGGTGTGTTGGTCCTAGACTTGTCCAGTAAGTTATGTCACACTATGTACATCGATATGTGCAAATGAACACACTTTTAATATATTTGATACGATTAGTTTAGTATAGTAAAATCTTATTTATTGTTCAGGTCGAGTTCAGTTTATATCCAATGCTACTCCGATCATAACTTTTTCATTTGTTTAACTGATACTGATCTCAACATTGGCAGATGTAATGAATATTGACACTTCCGGGATTCTAGCTCTAGAAGAACTGCAAAAGAAACTGACTTCACAAGCCATCGAAGTAAGATTGTTATCCTTGTACTATTTGACTCGGTAAATTTCATCTCCAGTCCTTGAGCTTACAGAAAAAAATTAATTTGGACACTAAATTTGTAAGAATTCGCAGCATGCCTAATCATAAATTACGGGTTAAGAATCCTTGCTTGAAATAATGAATTCCAAAATCTTTGTGTATTTGAATAGCCTTGCATCTCAAAACTCTAAAATCTGCATTTACTTGTTGTTCAATGGTCTCAATCTCAATCACGATGAAAGTAAATTATTATCCACAATTTAAGTGCCTTATTTTGTGACTTTTCATGCTAGAATAATGATTGTAGAGCATTTCCAATTTTGGTTTATTTTCATTTACAAATTTCACCATTTTTTCTTGCCATCTTTTTCCTCTTTTTTCTTAGGCAATAATAATTAGAGGTTGTATGAGAATTAAGGGTGATTATAGAAAGTTGTAGATTTAAATTTCAAATTCAATAAAAACTTTCAACATAAAACCTACAAATCGATTCATGTAGAACACTTCAATCAATTCTCAATTGAGAATAAAAATACATTCTCTAGATCTACTTAGTAGAATTCTAAATTTAAACATACTATTACGGCTAACATCATCTTACAAGAGTGAATCCCACTATCATGAAAAAAAATTATCTAATTCAATACACTTATATGGAGTATAACCTTTCTCTAAAAAATGAGTTTTACTATCATAAACTCATTAGTCTTCCACTTGGTTTTAAAAAACAAAAACCTGAATGTTCTCAATAAACTTAATGACCAATTAGAACTTCCATCATATCTTAAATTAGGTTGAAATTCTATACTCTGTATATATACTTCCATCACTTTCCTAAATATTCATCTTTGTACTCATATAAGTAAGGGATTGAATTATTGAAAATAGATTGCTCCCACTCGGATACAGATTACTACGACTTGAATCAAAAGTTTAAAACAATTCATTTGTAGTCAAAACTAATTCATCAATACACATAATATTAATTTCAATAATATGCGTCTTCTTCCTTACTAGAAACAAATATCAAATGTCACATCTTGTGACCCAATATCCATCCAAAATCTCACTTAAGTACTTTTTTGGACTGTCATATGTATTTCAGAAAGATACAGCTTGTTCTTAATAGACTTGTATTCCTAAACTCATTATCAAGAGCTTAGATAGTCAATAATGAGTCTAAAACAACCTATATTTGATTAATTTCTCTTTTATTACATAGATCATTGATCTCTCGCAATAGAGATTCACTCTCTCAAACAGTTCTCAAAGTCTTCACCTCCATAATCTGATTTTCTACTCCCTTTCAATAAAGTCTAAATAAATACAATATCTTTAATTTATGAAAATCAAAGGCACAACTGAAATACATGAATCCATATATAAATGTAATGAAAATATGAAATTACATCTCTATCACGCAAAGAATTCGGATGAATTTACATTATGAAAGTTAGAACCACAATAAACACCACAACTGTGAGTACAAACAGAATTACTACGTATAAGTTCAAGTTAGAGACCACTCTTAGAAGAACAGCAATTGAGATCAAGTTTAGTGGAGTCTTTAATACTATCTTAATATCGAATATGAGGTCACTTTCTCTACTTTGCAACACTAAGATGCATGAATCAGTCATATAATTCTCCACTCCATCTCATTATTGGTATATATATAGTTTGTACCAAGTTAGAGACTTGACAATAGACTAAAGACACATCTTGATCTCATAGAACTGGGTTTTTAACTCTTAAATTCACTATCTACACAAGATAAGATACAATATGTATAGCGTTGACACGTAAACAACACTAAAAGGATTATATTCAAGTGCAATGTCCTTAACTAACCACTTTCGATCTAAGAGATTCAAAACGTATAGTTGTAGTACTTGAACCTTTATAAATATTGATCTTCTGCAAAGAACTCTTTCAAACATTTACTATTCGATATGTTCTTCTTGGTCTATTTTTTAGTCTCCTCATCCATCCCGCATTTATTCTAACTCATTTAATTCTTAAGGTTTGAAATCTTATACGAACTAGAACATTGCTACACAAGTATGTCCTCGATACTTAATAACATCAAGTCACACCTTTTTTAACTCACATAGTGGGTAGTGTCAATAGAGAAAATTGACACTTCAATTTATAAGTCACATTGACCTTCAAAGTTCCCATATATTGAAAAAAAAAGACTAGTTTGCACTTACTACTAATCTAAAAAAATGTGACCAACAAAAAATATCGACATTATGCTAACCATCTCGGTTAAGTTACATTCGGGAAAAATGATTATCTATAATAGAACTTAACAATTCAATTGCTCAAGCACTAGAATCTATCTTTTTACGTACTTGACAAAGTTTTGATCTTTATTCTCTAGAGTAGTATGACCCACATCAAGTCTTCTATTGTATGGATGATATTCTCTAAAGCATCATGTTCTTCTAGTACATTCAAAATATTATCATACCACATGTTATCGCATTTAGCTTATCACTTTTATTAAGGTCAACGACTATAGAGTTGGATGCCATGATCTATCATATTTTAGTCACATTTTTATTCTCAATTAATGCTCGTTTATGCACATATACAATTTTGCATTGATGCAAATTAATATACGATAGGTCAACATTAAGCACAGAGTCAAAAGTTTAATATGTTCCCAATCATCGTCCGCAATCCTTCAATCTATGCCCATTTATGTACATATATCATTTTACATCAATGCAAATTAACATATATGATAGTGCATCGTTAGGCACGGAGTCAAAAGTTCTCTATGGTCCCAATCATCGTCCGCAATCCTATTGTTTCATTATCATAAAATTAATTTCATAATGCAAAGTTCTATTAGTTCTAAGCGAGAATTACATAGATTCATCCCGTTTGAGAACTCCCGCTCAGTTATTGAATCAAATATTTTAAGAGATATTTTCTCTAAATCTTTCAATCACCAAACAATCATTCAACTGAGAATTAATAGGTCTCAGCAAGAATCTCGCTAATTTTACTGACCTTAGTATTCATAACAATTCACGAATCAACAAATATCATATAATTCAATAATGTAAAATCTGTAATATGCAATAAAATATAAATATGTATATTTATCAATTATGACATGTATCATGATATTACAAATTAATTCTTTCGGAAAATAATCCCAGTTATAATCAAAGAATAAAACTCAGTTCATTTAAATTTTATTATACAGATTCTCAATCTCACTTTAATTTCTATTGCAACATAATCTCAACAAATGGAAAGTGAGATCATAATTTTTAGATTCTGCTTATCACAAAAAAATGTCCCAAGACATTCAAGTATTCCACTAGGTTATGTTCCAAATTTATTTATTAATTTCTATAAGCGCGGCTTTTCAACAAGTTCTATAGCCCACGCTTCTCTAGCCTCCCCTCTAAAGATGCTAAAAATATACATTGATCTAGCCATAACTAATCAAGCACAAAAAATTGAAAACAAGTCACAATGAATCACATAATTAATCAAGATCCACACAATTCATGAACATATATAAAATGTGGTTTATTAAATACTTTCGGAGTATTTTTTATTTTAAAAAAATGAAAGCATCTCAAAAATTCACTCCCACTAGACAAATGCCACTTAACAAATATTCTTGATTTTTTTTTCAAAAAAAAATTCAGAATTTAATCATATTAAAAATATTTTAGATGCTTTTTACAAATTCATTTTAAGCATTAAATACAATAAAAATATTTTTAAATATCCAAAAATCAATTTAATTGCACCGAAAGATCAAGAATAATTCAAGGCCAATTTGCAATTTTTTAGAATTGCAATTGGATCTCGCACGTGACCTCAAGTGTGGGATCAATCTACAATTTTTTTTTTTAAAAAATGACATGCCTCCAAGCGTAGACAAAGCACATGTCACGTCGTCCTCGAAAAAAATTCATTGGTCATCCCGACTAATTTCGACGTTTTGAATTCATTTTTGTGGTTCGATTATACAAAATCAATGTTTATGGTCGTATTTGAGACATCAACAGATCTGTTTGAGAGTGGAAATGACAAAAAATTCATGCAAAATTTTATGATTTTTGACCGAACCTCGAGGGATCATAACTTTTTTTCATATCAAGGCCAAAATTAATTATTTTTATATTGTTGGAAAAGTCTGAGAAGATCTAACCAACCATATCAAATGGGAAGCATGAAACGTAGTGTAGAAGAAGTTGTCATATGATGAAGTTTCAAATTTTATCAATTTTCATGCAAAAAAAAAATAAAATTTAAACATGTATATCAAAAGATACCATTAAAGACCACGAAAGGTTTCAAAATTTTACATAATAGATTCATAACTCAAATAAATCTTGTAATTACATATTTAAGCATGTATTACAGTAAGGAATTCAACATTATGGCTCTAATACCAATGTAGAAATTCGCAATATGCATAATCATGAATTACGGGTAAAGAATCCATAATTGAAATAATGAATTCCAAGATTTGTTTTGTGGTTGAATCACCTTGCATCTCAAAATTCCAAAATTTGTATTTTCTTATTCTCCAATGGTCCCAATCCCGATCAAAATGGAAGGGGATTATTATTCACAATATGAATGCCTTATTTTGTGAGTTTTTATGCCAAAATAGTGATTTCAGAGCCTTTCGAATTTTAGTGTATTTTCACATACAAATTTTACCATTTTTTATTGTCATCTTTTTTCTCTGTTTTTCTTAGGCAATAATTATTGGAGATTGTATGAGAGTTAAGAGTGGTCATAAAGAGTTGTATGTTTAAATTTCAAGTTCAAACCACTATCTTCAGCCCTTTTAATGTCCTGAGTCTGGTAACACCACATGGACGACTTACAATCCATATTTTCTAACTAAACTTCAATTTGTTTCAATTATGTCACTGGTCTTCAATTCAATTTCCAATGTCATCAATATGTCATATTTTGTTACCTGTCATTTCCCAAACTGATTAAAGCTTAGCTGATATTCATATCATAATAGATCTTTCATGTACTCTTTCTGGCACTCTGGAAACAGAAATGGTAAAATTAAAATTGTGGCAATGTCCATGACATTCTAGAAACGAAATGGTAATTTGAAAGTTCTGGAGTGTCATTAGATTAAAAGGTTAAAAGATGTTCATTTAACATTTTTCTTACGTGGAGTAGTGTGTTGAGTAGTCATATTACTAGGAATGTGTCCAAGATTTGTTGTGAAGTAGCTTCTAACTAAGCAAGTTCCACCAATTTAGGGGACAAAACGTGACAAAGTAGTTAAATTTGAAACCAAATTGAACTCGAGTTATCTAATTGAGACAAATTAAATCAGTGAAACTTCAGTTACCACCACTGAAATTTAACTCAATTGGACATGTGAAATTTGACATCTTTGTAACTCTAAAGCCCCATTTGATACTGATTAAAATCTATCAATATCAATATCTATTGAAAATCTAATTTTAACCCTCATCAAATAGGGGCTATGTCATAATCTTTCATTGTTTTCCCACAGTTAGCAGTGGCCAATCCAAGGTGGTCCGTCATTAACAAATTAAAGTCGGCCAAATTTATCGATAAAATTGGAGCAGGTCGGGTCTTCCTCACCGTAGATGACGCTGTGGATGCTTTCCGTCACCTCAGAATGACTGCTCTCAGCAGCTGCTGATAGCTTTTCAACATTTCCTACAATTCCAATTGCAAATTTCTGTACAAAGAAGGGCAATATATAGCTCAGCTGGGTGGCCTGGAATAACCAAAAATAATGCACTTTCTGAACAGCATTGTGTGGATTGCATCTATATATTGTTTTTGTTTATGGTGTGAGAATGTAATTATAGAATGTTCTCCCTTTCTATGGATGGAACATGTATAATTTTACTGTATAGCTCGAGATCAAACCGAGCTTATTTTCATTATTAATAAATATGCATGTGTGCAGCAAAGCGATGCTTTACCAAAGTACTTGCTTATTTTAGGCATACGAACATTACGATTTTTTAATTTCTTAAGAGTAGTTGTTTTCAAATAATTGTTAAATTGGTTCCATGTCATTGGGTTCCGTTAACTTTCTGTTGTCACTAAATATTTTAGCATAAATAGAAAGGTAAATTGCACTCGGGTTCGAACCATGGGAAGGTTGTGATGATGAGTCCTGAACCTTTGATTTATAGCGCTCGAAGTTCCAAATCTTTCACATGTTTGTGACATAGGTCCTTTTTGGAAGGAAATGCAAGATTGAAAAGTTATGGATACGCGTGTTAAAAATAAAAGATTCAGTACCCTTCATCATAACCTTAAAAAGTTCGAGACGCCAGGTGCAATTTATCCTAAATAGAATTATTCTTTTTTTGAATAACGTACAACATTTAAAATTATACGTGTTGAGAAGTTGTGATAGAAACCTAACAAAGATTTACCCAAATTCTATGTGATGCGGACATCATTTTTCCATTAGGGATTTTTTTTATTATTTATATTTTTATTATTGGGCTTGTATTATTGGGTTGGTCCAAGCTCATCACTAGTAGGGTTATGTTTTACTATTTATATGATTTTCACATTATAATTTAGACAGTTGATAATTGAATAAAAATAATTGTGGTTGTAGCCAAAGTTTCTTCCTTTTAACCTAGTCTTCTTTCCCTTCTTCTATTGTGTTCTTCTTCTGCCATTCCTACATCTAATTTTCTCTTCTTTATTGATTTATTTCTCATTCTCCATTAATTATTTTATTTTGTCCTGCATCAAATTTGGTATCAGAGCCAAAAGCTTGGGAAGTACTTAAATTACAATATAGAAATTTCCCGTCTTTTTCTCTCAGAACCCGCACCTCCGCCATGTCCATCATTGGGAATAATTGATCAGTTTCTCCAAAATCTTGGACAGCACAAAAGAAAGAATTTGTTGAGGCAGCAATTTTTATTTCTCAAGTTTTTCTTCCATAGTAAAAAAAAAAATGATATATTTTTTTAAGAGTCCTATTGTTAGCTGCTCCTCAACTTTTGTTATCTGCTGTTCTACAAGGTTGTTCATTTTATCTAGATAAAATTCCCATCCATTCTTCATGTATATCTCACAATCCTACATCAACCCAAATACCCACAAAACTAAGCAGTCCATTTAACCCAAACTCTTCCCCAGCCCACTTATTTTTAGCCCATTACACAAATAACACCCAAACCTACTAGGGGTACTTACAAAAATACCCTTAAAATTGAGAGTGTTTTGAAAAATCATGTGAAAGGTTTTTAGGAAATAAAAAATACTGTGTAAAATAAAAAAGTGACACAATGTCAGTGACACAAA